TCAGGACCTCGTGCGCAAGCTCTGACGTTCGGCTGTGATTTATAAAGGAAAGATGCGCAGAAACGTGCGTACGCACGGTTTTATAAATCTGAATATTTTTTTGGCGTAAGCCATTTCCGCCTTTTGGCCGCACGTTCACTTTTAGTATGGTTTCCACGCAATCATTTATAAATGACACCCCAGATATGTAGAGTGAATAATAGTCCCTCCAGAGTTACTGTGGGGCTTCCTGGCTGCTTCTCAGATTACCAGACCTGTTTAGTCTGTTCCTTGGTCTTCACRATGCYGTTTCCCTTCACATTAATGTGCTMYATTGTGTTCTATTAMATMAAATGCTAATAAAATACTTTGTTTGTAGTTGTAATGTGATTAAAAGTAGAAAAGTTTAACGAGTACGAAGGAGTTTTCAAGGTCCAGTAAGTCCCTCAGAAATAAACACAAAGCAAAGAAGATGAAAGAGAATGAACCCTGGATATTATTTGTCTTATGGATGTGTGTATGTTCAGTCTGTTAATGAGGTTACAATCTATAATCTGGTCCTAACAAGGAGTATGAGGAGGAGGAGTACCTGGCTGGCATAGAAATGTCCATTGATCTTGACGATGACCTGGTCGTTTTCATCGGGGGTCTGTTCTCTGGGGACCACCACCTCAGCTGCTGTCAGGTTCTGCAGCTCATTCACCTGCAGGAACAGARATACACACGCCTCTTTAACTGAAGACCTTCACCTTAAAGCACAAAGTTTGGCAGATTATCAWCTCCTGGTTTCTGAGTCTTACCGTCTTGCCTCCTTTACCAATGACTCTTCCTGCAGCGGCGGCGGCCATCTTGATGTGAGTCTCCAGCTTGACTTCCTCTTTTGGCCCAAAGAAATTCTCCTCTTTCAGTTTGCCATAGATTCTGCCCTGAGCCTGGAGAAGAGAAAAAGATGTCAGTACTTCCCAACATCCAACTGTTCCACGACTCTGTGGGCACCAAAGACAAAGACATAATGTCAAATAAAGGATTCACGTCAATCAGCAGGTAAAGTCTTGTCAGTGTTCACCTTAAACTGAGCCTCAGGGGGTCCTGTCACAATCACCATCCTCATTTTAGAGTCTGGAGTTTCAGCTGGTGCAATCTGCAAGTTACCAGAGGACAACATTTACACTTTAATGGTTTGTCTAATTATACAGGTCATGTAGCCATATGACTGCTTACACGTCTACACCACCCCWCCAGAGAGGAAGAAAGTTCAACATGGCTGCTTCCACTCATAGAATATACTGTGACAAGATATCAGAGGCAATWAAAAGCTGTTGATCTTGATACTTTCTAACAGTTRGAGTATGTGCTCAGAATCCATGTTTTCTAAAACTTTAATGGATCTGTTTCTGAGTTAGCAAAGTTCATTAAACAAAGCCTAAAGGCATTTAAAAGATGATGTTTTTACACAAGTGAAAATACACTGCCTTGCTAAAAATAAAAAAAGTCTCCACCTGGATTTAACTAAGTGTTATGGTCTGGGGTTGCTGCAGTTGGTCAGGTCCAGGTTCAGCAACAGTTTGTGCTCAAAGAATGAGGCCAGCTGAATACCTGAATGTACTGAATGACCAGGTTATTCCAGCATTGGAGTTTTTCATGGCCTCTTTCAAACAGAGTTGTGAAAGAGTGGTTCAGGGAGCATGAGACATCATTTCACACATGGATTGGCTCCACAGAGTCCTTTGAGAATCTTTGGGATGTGCTGCAGAAGTCTTTGCTCATCGGTCAGAATCTAGCATCAAAATTATTGCAACACTGGATGAAATCAACACTGGATGAAATAAATCTTGTGACATTGCAGAAGCTTATCCAAACAATGCCACAGCAAATGTGTGCCAAAATCAAAGCTAAAGGCAGTCCAAAAAAATCTTAAGGTGTGTGACCTTTTTTTTGTGGCAACTTATTTTTTTGACCAGACAGTGTATTTTGTACAATACTCTGTGAAGCTCATTGTATTCAGTTTGTAAGCACAGCTGTTTGGGAATCCCTCAGCTTTTGGAAGAAAGAAAARCATTTGATATATCAAGAGGTTGATGAGATGATTTACTGATTTACGCCATCAAGACTGTGCTGGAACTAATACTTTTAGGTTTAAGCCAGTAATTCATGACATACTTTAATGACCTAGGTTTTCATGACATGCTGTTCATCTGCAGATAGAATGATTAAAGTCAGAACAAGACTTGCTAACAACAATCATTCTTAGATATCACTTGTGTTTATCTTTGTGTTTTCCCTTAACCTTGTATSAAATCTTGCTAAGATGACATAATAATGCTTGAACTAGGGTTGGGCATAATCGTATCGTGTGCGAATAATCGTCAGAAAAACATTAATCGATTATTTTTTGGCACTTGACGATTAGTATGATTAATGCAACCAGGCAGAGTCTGCTCGGTGCTCCTCTCTGCTTCAAATATGACAAACATTTTTAAAAAAAGTTCTGTAATTTAATTATCCATCAACACAATTTAAAATTTGATGTATAGCCCGAAGTCTGTGATTTTGACACAGTCTGGAACAGATTTTTACAAATAGCAAATCTTTTCTAAATTGGTTATATGACTAGGACATAAGGGTGTCCAGGTCAAATTAATCGTAACTGGCTAAATACCATAATTTTTTGTGATTAATGTTTCTGCCAATATTGCCCAACCCTAATATATATGTATATACTGTATGTATGAGGCCTCTCAACTGCATCAGGAGGTGACACAGACACAGAGGAAGAAGCAGGAGCAGAGGCACAGATGAGGCTCAGTGCCTCCAAATCCATGACCATGGTCTTGAACCGGAAAAGGTTAGAGTGCCTTCTCCGGGTCAKGGGGGTCGTCCTGCCTCAAGTGGAGGAGTTTAAGTATCTGGGGATCTTGTTCATGAATGGGGGAAGAAGGGAGCGGGAGATCGACAGGCGGATTGGCGCAGCGTCTGCTGTAAAGCGGGCGCTGTACCGGTCCATCGTGGTGAAGAGAGAGCCAAGTCAGAAAGCGAAGTTCTCGATTTACCAGTCGATCTACGTTCCTACCCTCATCTATGGTCATGAGCTTTGGGTCATGACCGAAAGAACGAGGTCCCTGATACAAGCGGCCGAAATGGGTTTCCTCCGCAGGGTGGCTGTGCTCTCCCTTAGAGATAGGGTGAGAAGCTCGGTCATCCGGGAGGGACTCAGAGYAGAGCCRCTGCTCCTCCACGTCGAGAGGAGCCAGTTGAGGTGGCTCGGGCATCTGGTAAGGATGCCTCCTGGATGCCTCCATGGTGAGGTATTCCGGGCACGTCCCACTGGGAGGAGGCCCCGAGGAAGACCCAGGAYACGCTGGAGGGACTATGTCTCTCGGCTGGCCTGGGAACGCCTTGGAGTTCCCCCGGAGGAGCTGGAAGAAGTGGCTGGGGAGAGGGAGGTCTGGGCCTCCCTTCTGAAGCTGCTGCTCCCACGACTCGACCCCGGATAGGYGGAAGAAAATGGATGGATGGATGGATGGATGGATGGATGGATGGATGGCCTTGGGGCGGAGTTGTCTTTTCACAGGGGGGGTAAGATACACTTTAATAAGAGTTTATTGTCTGTTTTAAACAGGTCAACTGTGAGTTTATAACCTCTTTATAAAGTATCAGAAAAGAGTTATAAAAACACTGTTCATATGCTTGAAACATGCTCACATTACGTATGATCAAGTGTTGTACATTTATTCATTTCTTTATAATTTAGAAGTTAAACATCAAACATTTGCCAGGTATTGTAAACACTGTGAGGATTTGAATATACAAAGTTTGTTTCAGCGTGCAAAGTGCAAAGTAAAAAATATAAGATAAGCAATCAGCAAAACAATATATTTACCTGTAGGAGTTAAGTACAGCACTAGATTGTGCCGAACTGTAAGCTTGTTTTAGTTTATAAATAGTGTTTTMTAACTGTTCTATGAATGTTATAAAACCTTTTCCAAAGCATCAGAAAACCGTTCAGGAGTGGATGGGTCAAAAACATGATGTGTCAGAATCAAAAGRTTTAAAACTGTGACAATGCAAATGTTTTGCAAACATGTTACTGAAGAATGGAGATAAAATAACACCAAATGTAATAACACATAAAACTCACATCGTTTTCTTTAAAGCTGAAAGGTGACAGATCATTTCCTGAAAAGCAGGAGGAAAAGTTTTACTTCCTGGTTGAACAGACCTTGATGGAGGCTCCGGCGAAGCGGCTCAGCTGTTTGATGTGTTGTCCTTTCTTGCCGATAATGGCCCCGACAGCCTGGGCTGGGATGTAGACATGGACTGTCTCCTGCTCTGGGGCCTACACACACACACACACACACACACACACACACACACACACACACACACACACACACACACACACACACACACACACACACACACACACATTACTTGATGATATTAAAGAGGACATGTTTGGGGTGGTAAGTTATGAAGCTCCATTTGTTCAGGAATGTGTCGATATTCACTATAGTCTGATTTATATATTTGTCTTTTATTTAACCACAGAAGCACAGACTTAAAATGGTCTTAAGGTTGAGTTGTGCAAACAATGACAATTTGTGTCTTTATAACACAGTCTGCTAACACTAACAGATTTAATAAAAATTGTCTGTTGGCTGTGAAGAAATACTGCAAAAAGCTTGAGATAACTGGATTCTATCAGATAAACATAGCTGTGAACACAGTTTCAAGAAAGCTGTTTGAATTGTAAAGATTCTTTGTAGTCTTTAGGCCACAATGTGTCATAAATATTTAATAAAAACCTCAGAGAATCGCATCGACTCATAAAACAGAGCAGAAGAAAAATAAATCTGTTTGGAACTCACACAGTTTGATCGATAAAATAAATATATTCATAAATATTGGATTGTTTTTTTTCCCCCTCAGAGAGGGTCATCTTACCCCAAATGAGCCATAGGGGGCGCTGCCAGCTGCATTCCCAGGAGGTGGAGGGGGCATGTTAGAGGAAGGTGGGAAGAGGCCCAGTGCACCCAGGTTGAGTCCAGGGATTAGGTGGGTTTGTTGCTATAGAGACCACAGAGATGTAAACAAGGCTGGCTCTGATCACATGAACAGGAAAGAATCACAAACTCAGAAACGAACCTGCACATATTTAAACCTTAACCTAGTCTAGCTAAGAAGTAAAACATTATTACTTCCTTGTCCTGCAAAGTGCCCCGCCCCTTTCAAGGTGAAAACAGTGAGAAACTGGACAGTGGTAAATATAGGTCAGAACAGTGCACACAGAAAACGGTTTCATGGTTTTACGCCCCCCAACTTCTCTTATAGATGAGATTCTGATGTGTAAGTCCGTAACAAAATGCTCAATGAGCAGAGTTTATTCTCTGCTC